AGTTGGGTTCCATTTTGAGTTGTAAAAGAAAAGTTGCTCTTGCAGAAAGTTGTGTTCAGAATTTGGAAGCAACTTCAGAAATAAGATATTTGAAGCCATTTCTATATTTATTCATGATCCGAGCATAAAAGTAGACTCTACTGTATTTTTTGTACCAAAACTTTTTTTTGTTGCTATTTTTTGAGTACAGAATACAGGTGTTTGCCTTTCATTTTCCACATTTCTTTGGACAAATAAAGGGTGGGAAGTTGGGAATATTACCCTATGCGGTAGGATTTGTAGCAGTTGGGTGATTTATATTCTTTTTTATGTGACAAACAAAAGAGGAATATATAAAAAAAAGTCATCTTGTGGATCTTTTGCTAGTTGGATGAATTTTGTAAAAATCGAATAGAACCTAGAATTTTAATTTTGGAGCAATGGACATTCGAATCATTTAAAACAAAATAATTTCAAAATAATAATAATAAAAAGAAAAACCAGAAACAAAGCTACTTCGTCCAAATCTACTTGTCCATGTTCTTAAACCCTAAACCCCTTCATTCAAATCTCTACCGAACAAAATGAACACTCTATCACTCTCAGCTTCAAAGCACTCAAAATCCTTCCTCAACCTCCTTAAACCCCATACCTCCAAAACCCAATCCTCCATCTTCCTCCTCAGCCACCACCTTTCCACCGATCCCGATCCCGAAGCCGAACCCAACCCTAAGCCCAACCAATCACCCAAAGACGATGACTTGCTGATAACCCAAGTGGTCGAGCTCCTCCAACCCAATGAAAAAGACTGGAACTTTGACCAACTCCACCACCTCCTTTTCTCCAACTCCGCCGCTCCTTCACCTCGTTCGCTTTTCCACATCACTCGCCGCCTTGGCGCTTCCTCCAAGGCCCTCAAGTTCTTCGAGTACGTTTCGGAAAATGTGGCAAGCGCACCAGACTCGACGGCTTCGCTCTCGTCATCATTCCAGGCCATTCTTGAGCTTGCTAAGCGAGAACCCACCTCGCAAAACAAGCTTTATGACTTGTATAAGATGGCGAAAGAGCAGAACATCCCGCTTAATATCAGCGCCGCTGCTCTGCTCGTTCGATCTTTAGGCATGGTTGGCATGGTGGATGAGGCGCTCATTGTGTTTAATGATCTAGACCCGGGTTTGAAAAACACCCATCTCCGCAATGCGGCGATTGATGTGATGTTGAAATCGGGATGTGTCGATGATGCACTAAAGGTGCTCGACGAAATGTTTGATCCAAAAGCAGAGGGCAGGGTCGACCAGGTTACGGGTGATATTGTGCTTTCCAATTTATTGAAGAGAGAGCGGCCGGGGAGGAGCTTCAGTGAGGAGGACATTGTGGGTTTGGTGTTGAAATTTGGTGAGCATGGTGTGTATCCTGATAGCATGAAGCTTACGAAATTGATCACTGCCTTGTGTAGGAACAGGAAGACTAATAAGGCTTGGGATGTCTTACATGATGTCATGAGGTTGGGTGGTGATGTAAAAGCTGCTTCTTGCAATGCTCTTTTGACATGTTTGACAAGAGGTAATGATTTTAAGAGAATGAATGAGCTTATGGTAAAGATGAAAGAGATGGACATTCATCCTGATGTTGTGACTTTTGGTATTGTTATTAATTCTTTGTGCAAGTCTAGGAGGATAGATGAGGCCTTGGAGTTGTTTGAAAAGATCAGCGGAGGAAGAGAGAAGAGTGATGGGGTTTCGACTGAACCCGATGTGGTCATTTATAACACTCTGATTGATGGACTTTGTAAAGTGGGAAGGCAAGAAGAAGGTTTGCGTTTGATGGAAAAAATGAGATTGCAGAATGGCTGTGCACCTAATACTGTTACCTACAATTGTTTGATTGACGGTTTCAACAAGGTCGGGGACATTGAGAGGGGTTGTGAGCTCTTTCACCAAATGAAGGAGAAAGGCATAACGCCAAGTGTGATAACTCTGAATACCATGGTTGATTGTCTATGCAAGCATGGGAGACTCAACAGTGCAATTGATTTCTTAAATGAAATGCAAAGGGATGGTGTGCAAGGCAATGCTGTTACTTACACAACCTTAATCACTTCCTTTTGCAATGTGAACAATATTAGCATGGCAATGGAATTGTTTGAGCAAATGTTGAGAGATGGAGGCTCCACAGATGCAATAGTTTACTACAGCTTGATCTCTGGTTTAAGCCAAGCTGGAAGGATGGATGATGCTAGCTCTGTTGTATCAAAGTTGAAGGAGGCCTGTTTCTCCCTGGATCTCGTTTCCTACAATGTTTTGATTAATGGGTTCTGCAAGAAGAATAAACTTGATAAGGTCTATGAGATGGTTCAGGAAATGGAGTCAGCTGGAGTAAAGCCTGATAGCATAACATACAACACCTTGATTTCCTATTTCTGCAAAGCTGGGGAACTTACAACCGGTCGTAGAATATTGAGCAAGATGATAAATGAGGGTCTTGTTCCTACTGCTGTCACTTTTGGAGCATTGATTCATGCATATTGCTTGAATGGCAATACTGACAAAGCCATGAAAATCTTCAGAGAGATGGGTTCTAAATCGAAGGTTCCTCCCAACACTGTAATTTACAATATTTTAATTGATACTTTGTGCAAGAAGAATGAAGTGGAACTTGCTATTTCTTTGATAGACAATATGAAAGATAAGGGGGTGAGACCTAATACCGCGACATTCAATGCCTTGTTCAAAGGTCTTAAGGAGAATAATTTATTGGAGAAAGCATTTGAATTTATGGATCAAATGATTGAACATGCCTGTAATCCTGATTACATAACCATGGAGATTCTCACGGAATGGCTTTCCGCAGTTGGTGAAACGGAAAAGTTGAGAAGGTTTGTTCAAGGATATGAGGTTGCTGCTTCTACTGCATAGAGTAACTGCACGGACAGAAGAATGTCAGTATTGGTTATAGATTGTCGATTTCAGAGTCGGCCATGCTTAGGAGAAAGCTTAGGAGAAAGCGTAATGGGTTCCAACTTCTAGCCATGTAGTTGTATTTTTCAGTTCGATATTGGACACCCCTCAGTTCAAAGACTGCTTATCTGAGTCTCTGTTGCTGCAGCATTTTTCATGTCCTTGGGTGGATTCCGCTCTTCCATGTTGAGATCAGGCAAACAAGGATGTGTTTGTAGAGAGAATCAGGCAACAGTCTTCTAAGTTATACTTGAATTGAAAGCTACATTTTCTGGCTTTTCTATGAAAATAACATTGCAGTGAATAAGTCTATATTTGGTGACACCATTTTCTTGTATGAATGCACTTTTGGTTGTTTTCATTGCTAGCGATGTTAATAAATTTCTTGATTTTTTGTGACCTCTATTTTCTCAAGTCTCATATAATCATGTCCTAACAAATGTTTTGCCTTTTTTATGAACTGTAGCAGCATGGCAAAGGAGGCAGGCAGAGATTCCTTCTCTGCACATTATGACATTGTTTGTGTAACATGGGTAATTATTGAAAAGGCAGCGTTGACACTTGATGAACAAGTGATTTGGTTGGGTGAAACCAAGTTCATGTTTGATGGTTTGATTTGAACACTGATTACAATACAAATCTCTTAGACTCCTTCTTTACCTCGAAACCCAATTGACTAAGAAAAAACCATGTTCAAAGAGAGGTGTTGCAAGCTTGCAAGTTGCAACAACATTTTTGCCTCATTGCAAAATTCTACTTTAAAATTGGAGCTCATCTTTAAGCCAATCAAAATCATTCAACTCTTTCAAGGGTGGTAAATTGAACCCTACTCATCATATTGAGAACCCATTACTTTTTATGCCAATAAAGAAAAAAAAAGAATCTCATAATTCTACAAGCATGTGAAAGAAAATGAAATAAAACTATTTTTATTCATAAACCCTTTTTCGTCTTTTTAATCTGTTGAAATACAGAAAAAGTTTCCATGCGGAATATCGTCGTCAACCGTCGAGGCTATCTCAACCACCGACAATCATTAGCTGACAAACTTTAACGTCAATAACATTGAACTTGTTTATTTCGACGTCAATCAATACTATTTACCCTTTTCTTCTTTTAATAAATGAGTTTGAGTTTCGAATGGGAATGGCACCGAAATTTCTCAATTTTGTGATCTTCGGTGGAGACGAAATTTTGTGATCTCCGGTGGAGAAGATGATAAGCCTCACAAAAATGTTTCCCATATGTTACCAAAAAAAAAAGAAAATAGAAGAAGTGTGGTATGGGATTCATTTCAAGTAATAATCAATAGCAACTCGACATGTTTATGTTGAAATCTTTAATATTATAGATTTTTGGGTCATCATGTGATTTATTGACATTTAGTTTTCACTTTGTTAAAGAAGATTTTGAGTTTAAATATCAGAGGAATTCTTTTGAGTATAAGCGATAATCTAAATTACATGGGAGGTGGATTTCTCACACACACACAACTATGATGTCGTGAGGATTCGAACGTGATATCTCTGGTCTGCAACTCAAGCTACTTTTTCACTGGGCAAGACTCCGTTGCCAAATATCACGGGAATTTTTTTATTTTTTTAAATATGGTTTAAGTTATTTATGCATATTAATGACTTTAGGGGCCTCAAGGCCAACCTTGATCTCTTGTGACCCCAACTTGCCATGGACAAGTAAACAGCTATTGAGGTTTTGTTTTGGCTCAAGGTGATGTTTTGGCTCAAGGTGTGAATGATGTTGATAGTTCATTTATATATGCTCAAATAAGATTTATTTGTATTCTCATTAATTGGACTAAACAAGGCATTAAAACCAGGCACAAATAACATTGAAAGAAAGAGAGAGAGAGATTCGGTGCCAAACTGGCTCTTGGACTTAGGTACCAATTTGGCTTTTAGACCAAGCAAGCCATGGCACACATCAATAAGCCAGTTTTGCATTTAGTAAAAAGAAAATAGATTTAAAGTGAGCACAAACCAACATTGTAGGAATGGTAAACCAACACAAATTTTGCTAATCACCAAAATAAATGAACCGCAAAAATGATCAACAAATTAAAATCACCAATATTCATTGTAATATACTAGTAGTAGCTAATCACTACCACTAACTTTACTCAAACCAAAAATAAATCAACAAATAAAAAAGAAAACTAATTCACTAATCTAAAACTACAAGCCTTTTTCCCCCCCAACTAATTTCATAACTAAGCATTGTTAATCAAGATTCCACCCATAGTTACACCCCTAACCCTTTCTTTCTCCCTCTCTCTCTCTAAACAAAAAGTCAAAAATACCCCCAAAAGAAAAAAATAAAGAGAAGTGTTGACAAAAGAGATGACTTTTATCGACGAATCAGATACTGCCAGCGGCGGTCGCAGCATTACTAGAAACCCAGGTGACGCCAAAGCTCGTCGGAGAATGATCGGAAAAGTAATCTCCGGCGAGACCGTCCAAACCCACAAAGAAATCGTCGCTCACGACCGAATCACACATCCCAAAGAGCTCCTCGTCGTCGTCGTCGACCATAGGACTGCCCTTTTCTTCTTTGAAGCTTTCCATGGTTGTACTCTGAGGTACAACAGGGTCTTCGTCGACGGACGCCGAGGTTGCCGGAGAAGTGGGTTTGGTAGAGTCACTGCCCGTGACGGTTTGCGGCGAGAAGGGCTTCTGGCGGGTGGAGCCGGCGAGCGAGTTGCGGTGAGTTGGGGCCGGGTGGTTGTGCTCGGCCGTGTAGGTAACTATGAACATATTCGCGTCGGGGGTCTTCGTCGACGGACGCCGAGGTTGCCGGAGAAGTGGGTTTGGTAGAGTCACTGCCCGTGACGGTTTGCGGCGAGAAGGGCTTCTGGCGGGTGGAGCCGGCGAGCGAGTTGCGGTGAGTTGGGGCCGGGTGGTTGTGCTCGGCCGTGTAGGTAACTATGAACATATTCGGGTCGGATCTGTTCCGCTCCACTTGTTTTCGGGCCATACAACCCTTTGAGCTGCTGCATCTGTAATATCCCCTGTTTTGGTTGAAAGTTGAAACAACATAAAATTAGCCATTTTCCTTCATGGACAATTAAAATGGGTAAAAGCAATTTTATATAAATAAAAAATTTGCCATTTTTATTTAAGTTTTGGGATAAATGAAATGAAATGAAACCCACCCACCTTGGATATGGGGAGCCCTTTATGGGTTTTTGGCCATATTTACGCCATGCCCATATGTCTGCAGAGAGCCTCTCAGCTGGTACTTGGCACACTTTCTTAAGCTGGTTCTTTCTGAAATGGAAAGAAACGCATAAATAACTTAAATTATGGATTAAATAGCGCAATTTACGAGATGGTTATCTCCCAAAGTTGAGTTTTTTTTTAAGTTACAAAGAAAATCAAAGAGAAAAATTGTACCTTTTTTTGGATCGTGGGGTGGTGGTGGAGGAAACAGAATGAGATGATGGCTTGGACTGTTGTTGTTGTTGTTGCTGCTGGTAGTGGTTTTGGTGTTGATGTTGTTGAATGGGATGTGTTTGATCTTTGGGTGCGGTCAGAGGAGTGAGAGAAGTCAAAGGAGAGAGATTGGGTGGTGGTGTGATTTGTGAGGAGAGGGGAGGCTGAGATTTGGGGAAGAAGGGCTTGTAAAGCTCATGCAAGTCCTCTATGGCATTTCTGGGTTTAATGGGATCTGGAAGAGAGAAAAGCACTTGGAATTGTTGTTGCTGTAGGCCAGGCTGCAGAGTAGCGGTACCAAATGAAGAAGAAAAAGCAGGGCTTGAATGGAAGTTTGAGATTTTGAAGCATGTGCTGTTGTTGCTGTTGGTGGTGGCTGTGCTTCTGTTGCTGGTGGTTGTGGCGGTGGAGCAGCCTCTTACCACCGCCTGAAGATCCCAATCGTCTTCCATTTAGAGAGAGAGAGAGAGAGACAAGGTTTCTGAATCTGTACCTTGTGTCTGCTAGCTATCACTGTTTGAGGACAAAGAAAGGAGGAGGCAGACAAAAGAAGGCGCTGACTTTTTATTGGTAAGAGCGAGAGAGGGGGGAGAGAGATGATAAGGGTGTGATGAGTAGGAGAGGAATTATATAAACAATGTATATATAGAGAGAGAGAGAGAGTGAGAGAGGGAGAGGGAGAGAGGGACAGTGGGATTTTATGCACAAAAGTCTAAAGGGGGCCTGAAAACAAGTGGTTTTCCTAGTGAGAGAAAGGGAGAGAGGAAGAAGGCATCTCTATGCATTGTTTTGCTTTTGGAGAGAGAGAGAGAGGAAAAAAAAGGAAATGAAAAAAGAAATTCAAATGGGAAAACTGGTTTTCGGTTTTGGGGTTGACTTGTTCAAATGTCAAAGCGGGTTTTGATTAAGGAAAAGTTCCACACGGTGTATAGCGAGTGGAGCTCGTGAGTTATACCGACAAAAGAAGAAAGAGATAATAAATTTTATTTTTTTTAAATTCAACTTTTTTTATAATAAAATAAAATAAATAAATAATGGAAAAGTGGAAGCCAGTTAATTTGGGCGCTCCTGTCAAAAATGCTTGCTTGGTGGTATTGCAAAGATTTTTTAGTGGGTAGGTAAAGAATTACAAAAGCCTAATTTGCGCCCTCCTCCTCCTGCTTACGTGCCTATCCGTAATCTTGGGAAAATGACAGATTAGTGTTTTTATTAGGGATGTTTTAACATCTAATTAAATTCATTCTGAATCAATCAGTTCAATCAAGCTTTGATCAATTTCCATGATTGTGGCCTTTTATTAAGACCCTTCTAATTTAAGAAACCAATGCTTTGATGCTGCTTTCGCATTCAATTAGGTCTCCAATTCATTGCTGCGGCGCATCTAATTTTACCAAAATTTGTGGTTTGATTTCATGACAACTTTGTTTTGTTTGAATAATTTTCTGTTTTGACAACAAATCAATCATTAAATACCATTTAACTCAATTGAAATTAGATTGGATCCTAATAGTAATTTGAATTTTTATAAATCAATGAACACCCCCCCCTTTAATATAATATGATCATGGTCAATCCTAAATATCAAAATTGACTCATAAAGGATCCCAAAAGACTTTAAATTGTTCATCAATCTAATTTGAAAAGTTTTTTTTTTTATCACTAGGTTACTATTGACCATAACAATCTATGGTGCGACCAATCCTTGAATCATTTGAATGATTGGCATTCAAATTTGTTTCAAATCCCTCCAAACCACAATTGATTTTTCAAGGTCAATGTCGATAAAAAAAAATTTGAGAACTACTTACAAAATGATTCATTTTTAGAGAACGTATGGTAGCGAAACCCTGAAAGTACGAGAACTCATTTATTAAAAATTAAGGAATACAATTAAATGGCATAAAACCTGACTCACTTAACACAACATTCTGAATAAAGTTGGAAACATATCTACCCAAACATAAAAGGATTGCATGATTTAATTAAGTAAAATAGTAGGTTTAAACTTTTCATAATCAATTCATTCCCCCACTTTTAAAGGTGTTTTACCCAATTATTTGATTTTAATTCAATAAGGAAATGTGTTTGTTGTGCTTGTGCATTGGAGTTGTAGAATTCCATTTCTATATCAAAAAGGAGCAGCGGCAGAAGCAGCATCTGTTCTCCTCTTTTTGGGTTTTGATGCCTTTGTTTCTTCTGTACTCTCCCTGTCCCCACTTTCTTCATCAAAGGAGCACCTCCCCACTCCTTAACGCTCGTGACCGGCACATGGATTCTATTTGTTTGGCGGTGCTCTCAAGTTATACCCTCCACGTCTCGCCCGTCCACAGCGAGTTCGTATTTCTATCTCCTTCGAGCGAGTACGGTGTGCCCAATAATGCCGCCATCGAAGAGTCAAAGTCCAAGCGCTGATCTAACGGCTCGACGACCAAAGACAAAGTAAGACGATCTGACGGCTACGGGAGGGGATTCACACTGAGACCACATTGCAATTGTGGATCAACGGCGCAGGGAAGCTGACGTGGCATGACAGCTAGCAATATTTCTTTCTAAATAAATCACGTGAAGGTGCAGTACCATCACATGAAATGTCAATATAACATAACAAATCACTCAAATTATAACACATGTGTATAATCGTTAATACTAAACTTTCCAAGAAGCTTCGACATGCAACATATGATTAGCTATATAGGGCATGACTTCGGTCTCGAGAGATATACTAAGAAGAAATCATTGTGCGTAATTAAAATAACCACATCTTATAATTTGATTGAATTCGAAACACCAACATGTCACGAGTTGTTATTACCTTTAAAAAGTAATTTTCCACTCTTGACAAGTCATAATCTTGTAATTCAATGTGGGTCTAATATCTCTCTCTCTGTCGAATCAATCCAACGGCGGAGGTTGAAGAATTGTGCAGAGAATATACTGAAAAAATGCGGTGATAGAGTGTGACTCACTAAGATGGTGTTAGTGAGTTGAACAAGGTGCATGTGAGGTTGGTGCCAAGACGTGGGTGGCACGAGGCATTGAATTGTAAGCGTGTGGGGTCATTGTCTCCAATGTTAAAATTTAAAGAAATTATGGTGGGAAAAAAAAAAAGACTAAATAAATCCGAGAAAAAACAAAAATAGGAAAAATGAGGGAAGTGGTGTATACAAAGCTACAAGCCCCCCCAACTTTGAGGGTTATAGCAGCTGAGTTAGCAATTTGGTCAGCGGGTTGCCCATCATCCCATTCCATTTGCATTTGTTCTTAATTAATTTAAAACAATTTGATTGTGTTGACTTTGACAATTGGGGAAGACCCAAAGTGGTATAAAATATGTTATCTTATTTTGATCTTTGGTCTAGACGGATAGTCAGATACGCATGCATAGAGGGTTATTTTTCTACATGTTTACTTGATTAGGTATTTGATGAGGAATACTAGATACCTTTATCTTTGTACATTCCCCTCTACATTCTACCATCTCATTTTCATCATGAAATTTGGTTTAATAATCGAAACTGTCTAATCTTTTAGGTTTTATTTTAACTGAACAGTCCCCTTTCCCCCGATCGCTTGTACTAAAAAACCTGTACACTAAATTACCGTATTATTAATCAAATGATTAAATGATTTCCAGCAAGTTTTAATTTTTTTCAGAAATAACCTACAGAGTGAACGGTTTTTTTAAACATAATACAACATTGCAGAATGAGAATGTGAATTAAAAATATATAAAAAAAATTGAAGGTAGCTAGCATTCCCTGTTCAATTTTGACCAAAAAAAACATTGAGATAAAATTCTTGTTTCTATTGAAACTTGACTGATTGGTGTAGGTGCATGAAATCCTTTCCAATTCTTTATCGTTTTCATACCGAACAAGTTTCCCTCCATTATCGATTTCTTTTGAGAGATGGGTACTTGTTGAAGCTCATAAGATCAAATCCAGTTAATCACACCGTCTTTTAGGGCCGAGAAAATAAAGTGAAACCGGAGCTATTGATAATGATGGCTCATATTGAAGGCAGGGGAGGGGAGGCATTTCTAGACTTTGGACCACCCACCACCATCCATCCACAACTTAATTATGACACAAACCTGCCGTCACACACTTTTCTCTCTCTCTCTCTCTCTCTCTCTTTCTCTCTCTATCCACAACACAACACTTGGTAACGTATTAACATTCATACAAAGCTGTGAAGCACTTTGAATGAGAAATCTTTTTTGTGGATTTGGGTTAATATATAATTTTTTTAGTTCAATCTCCATTTTGGGTGGTCAATGGTCAAGGATACACGTAACACGCTAATGACTCTTCTGCTTGTTTGTTTTTATCCATATGGGGTTGTGGATATGTTGAAAGGGATATTGAGATTTTTGAGTTGCTTGCTTGCTATGACTTTGGCTTATGGGTCAAAAATAATAGAGACTTGCAAAAGGTTTGGGGTGAGAACAAGTATGAGAAGCTGTAGCAAGCAACCCCACAACCACAAAAACTTTGATGATTGTTGGGATATTCAAATATCTTTTGGCACCTGTTGTTTCATTTCATCTTTCTTTGGTGTTTTTTTTTTTTTTTTTTTT